TTAAGGGAGGAGACAGCAGTACAAAAGCCCTTTCACCAGCAAATTTCTTAACTCCCTAACTGGGCCTCCCACCAGTATCTATTTAAGTTCCTGTTGCCAGGAATTCTGACCCAGCTCCAAGGGAAGTTATTGGTCCTACCAGGGCTGCCTCACTTCTAACGGCTGTCCAGGCTTGCCACCCTGACAACCTCCTTAGTCATAAAACTTGGGACCGTTAGTATCCTCTACGTTCTTTTTCCTTTCATGAGAATGGACTGTAGGAAAACAAGTAGGTCTCAGGTTGCCTGCGAAAGATCCTACATTTAAAAAAAAGCAATTCTAAAATTTGAAAGAGTGACTAAAATAATAATCAAAATATTCAGAGTTCTGCCAAACCACACAGACTCAGGAACACTGACTGAAGTCAATGGTGAGGTGCCCTTGGATAGGAATTCCCTCCTGCTTCCACTACACCACAGGCGTCCACAGGCAATTCCTGTGTCCACCTAACTAAAGAAAGCTAAGAGCCACTTGCTGGGACAGGAACAGTGCACTAACTCTTCCCGTTAATGAACATGTAGCCATTTTCTCTTAAGAAAAATGCAATCCTCATGTTCTCTTCCATATTTCATGACTGATGATTTATCTTGTTGCTACAGCTGTACTTCTGCATTAACTCATCCCAAGTCTTTCTACAGAAACAAACATGTCAATCCTGAAACCATGATTGGGATTCTGAGAGTAACACAGCATTAATAAGTCCAGAAATTTGCTCTTATCTTAATGAAAAATATGGTCTCCCCAAATAAGTAGAGCTGGAAAAGGGAACTATTCTTACAAGGATGCACTATACAAATGGCCAGACACTGAAAGGAAAACATACTTATGGGCCTCCCATTACAATAATCACACTGGGGAAAGAGACCTCAAGAAAACACTGCTTCAACACAAATTTCAACTGACAAAAAATGTTTCAGACAAGCAATTGTCTAGAAATTACCTTGACTTTAAAAATTAAGAGTTACAATATTTTTGGGTCCTCAAGTAATAATTAACCTGATGGATATTCACCAGTCAGGAACACTAAACTGGGGTGGGTGCTGTGGGCCAGTGGGTTCAGCCAGTTGGGACTTCTGCAACCCACATCAAAGTGCCTGGTTTAAGTCCCAGCTACTCTGCTTCTGAATCAGTTTCGTGGTAATGTGCCTGAGAAGGCAGCAGATGACAGCCAAAGTACATGGGTCCCTGTCATCCATGAGGGAGGCCAGGACAGAGTTCTTGGCTTCCAGCTTTGACTTAGCCCAGACCTGACTGTTGCAGGGTTGTGGGCACTTGGAGAGTGAACCAGTGAAAGATCTCTCTCTTCCCCTCCCTCTCTCTTTCAAAAAAAACAAATCTTTAACACACACACACACACACACACACACACAGGGCAGGCACTGTGGCAGAGGGAGTTAAGCTGCCACCTGACAAAATCCCATATCAAATTGCTGGTTCAAGACCTGGCTACTCCACTTCTGATGTGGCTCTCAGCTAATGCACCTGGGATGCAGCATATGATGACTCAAGAACTTGAATTCCTGCCACCTAAATGGGAAACCAAACGGAGTTCCTGGATCCTTGCGTTAGCCTATCCCAACCCCAGCGGTTGTGGCCATTTGGGAGTGAACCAGCAGATGGAAGGTAACTCTACCTCCCTACCCCACCCCCGCAGTCACTCGCTCTCTCTGTATCACTCTTTCAAATAAATAAGTCTTAAAAAAAAAAAAAAAAAAAACTGAACTGTATTTGCTCCACAAGTTTACAAGCACAATATTCAGCTACCAAAAACTTACATGAAGTAAAAATGAGGTCAACATGGACATGTATAACATCAGGCAAACCACAACCTAAACATGACACTAAACATGCTTCAGCAATATGCCGCTGAACAATTCTGCTAAGTCCATAATCCGCACTCTTGATTTTTCACGTGAGAATTAAGAAGGGGAGAATCTTAATTAGCACTCAGGAGGTTGGCTCCCTAACAAGACCAACTTTCCAAATAATTTTTCACAGAACACTGTACCCTTCCAAAACTCAAGTGGAGGAGCAGTCATGTGAACGCAGATTTCTCGGCACAGTTCACTAATACCCAGAGCCCTCTCCAGAAAAAGAGCATGTGATGCAGTGAGAGACTATCAGATGAGTCAAATGACTGTCACCTCCACCTGACAATAACACGTCACCTTCCTACACAGCCAGTAAAACACACAGCTAATAAGACTACACCTTTGGTTATTTCAGCTAATCTGGGTAATTTTTCTCTTAAAAACACTACTTTTCTGAAAATGATTAAAATTTTAGCAGATTTAAGGAAAAGGAAGATTTCTTTAAATAGTAAGAACTAAATTCAGCTTGTGGAATATGTTCTTTGTTCTGTGAAAAGTACACGAATGATGTACATATTTGACAATGTTGAAAGTTAAAGCATCACAAAAATCTGGTTACATTACTCATCAACACTAGTGGCTTGAAATCAAAGGCAAGAATAAAGTAATCCTGCACAGGCTGGTCTCAATTAGTGTACCACGAAGTGTGTCACAGTTGGGGAAAGCAGGAACAAAGGCCAACAGGCAAGGAGTGAAGTTCCCGAGAGCTGCAAACCAGACCCGAGCCAGGCCAACTCCAAGTCAGGGTGCTTTAGTGCTGTCCTCTGCAGGACCCCACTGGTGTTCCTGAACTGTCCCTACTTTTCTTCATCTTACAGACACCTCTCCACACTGCCCGAGACATTAGATAAACTTCAAGTAAAAAAAAAAAAATAAGCATACCTGATTTTAGCATTTCTACTGCACAAAACAGATTTCTCCTAACCAATTCTTCACTATGCAACCAACTGTCCTGCCAAGATTCTCTAAGATAACTCGGGCTGACAATTCCACTGCCAGAAATCATCTCACAGTGCATACCAGCCCACTATATGTCACTTTTATTCAATTTCGAAAACTATGTAAACATAAACCTACCATATACTACATGTTTTCCTCTGTAAAGCAAGGTCCACAGAATAAAGATCTCAACACTTCTAGCTTCTCTTTCACCTTTAAATATCACTATTTTTACAAATTCCTGACAGTTCCTTATACATATTCCTATTGCACTGCCTATAATCCTAACACCCACCCACCCCACCCCCCCAAAATTGCTACTGGAAAAGTCTGGTACTCCCTTTTAGCTCTGAAAACCACCATAGATCTATTTCAGGACATTGCCTTCTTTGGTTGGTTGTTTTGTTTTTTCTTAGCAGTAAGAATAACCCAATTCCTTATATTTATAGGCAAAAAATACTAGCTTCTAAATGATTCCTCAGAAAGCAACCATAAAAAAAGCATTCTTCACTTGAGAGAAAAAAACCAAAAAGCAGTGTTCATATAATTTGTCATGAAGGGAATGTAAATTAACATTTTTGGTTCTATTTTCTGTCTCATGTCTAACTTGTAACAGTTTTTTGTAAGCTTTTCAAACCTACTTTGGAAAAGAGAAGAAAAAAAGCAGCAGGACTAATTATTCCTAGAAAATTTACCAAAATATAGTATAGTTTCAGCTTCAGTCACTGAATTTCGGGTATTTCTCTTTATGCTGACACTGTTGCTGAAAATCCTTATTCACATAAATTAATACGCATTAATTTATCTTTTTCTTTAAACATTTATTATACAGCTTCGATGTGCCATCCCCTTTTTGCTAGTTGCTGAAAATAGATGATGCATGAGCTAAAAGCCTGCCCTGGAAAGCTCACATTCCATCCAGCAAAGTGACACGTAACTATAATATCTGTGCAACTAGCGTAAGGTATGCACACAAAGTAGAAAACATCACACACTCTAGCATGAGAGGTGTTCTTGGAGGTCCTAGTTTTACAACTCCATTCTAGGTGAAACAGTATCATAACAAGGTAGTACTACCATTTCCATAAGATATGAATCTAACATGTGCCAGGAGCTTTCCCATGGTTTTTTTTTTTTTTTTTTTTTTTAATTTATTTTTTGACAGGCAGAGTGGACAGTGAGAGAGAGAGAGACAGAGAGAAAGGTCTTCCTTTGCCGTTGGTTCACCCTCCAATGGCCGCCGCGGCTGGCGCACTGCGCTGATCCAACGGCAGGAGCCAGATACTTTTCCTGGTCACCCTGGGGTGCAGGGCCCAAGCACTTGGGCCATCCTCCACTGCACTCCCTGGCCACAGCAGAGAGCTGGCCTGCAAGAGGGGCAACCAGGACAGAATCCGGTGCCCCGACCGGGACTAGAACCCGGTGTGGCGGCACCGCAAGGCGGAGGATTAGCCTAGTGAGCCATGACGCCGGCCCCCATGGTTCTTCATTTTATGCTCCATACACTTAGAGTAATTTTGAGTATCCCCATTTATAGATGAAGAAAGTTTTAAGAAGTATTGACCTTGTCCAAGATCATGAGTTAACAACTCAAAGAGCCAGGATTCAAGTCAGAATTTTTCAGTTCAACAATCCCTTAACCTACATCTGCCTCTCAAACAAAACCTGAAGGAGGTACTAGGTAAAACAGATCATATTACTGAAGTTTTAGCAAATAACCTTTTCTTGTGTGCACTGCCCAATTTTGCAGGTGTGCAATAACCTCTGGACGGCCTGCCAGGTGGTGGTCGTGACTGATACAAGCATAAGCTTGCAAATCATCTGGCTTGAAAAATGCCAGGACTTCTCAATCAAACCACAGTGCTGCTGATAACATAAAGTAGAAACTTAGAGATTAGCACCCGTGGTAATAATTTCAAATTTCCCTGGTATTTTATACATTTTATGCCCACTTAACATTCATGTTCCTTTGGCTCCATCTTCATGGCTTCCTACCAATAAACATCCTCCATAGAGCAACAGGATGAAAAGCATGCACATGCATTGCTATACCGTGCCCTATCAGAAACCAAGTGGGACTTCTGAATATACTAACAAGTCAGGTGTGTGAAAAATGAGAGGAAGCATTAACCAGAGAAAATAAGAGCTTACCTGTTTCTTCATCAATCCTGAAAACACCAACACCAGAACCATCCCTAATGGAGTAGCGGACCTCCCCGTCTCTTCCTGTGTCCTCATCGTGAGCCGACACAGTCATTACTGACGAACCAATAGCAACATCTTCCTTCACTATGCCCTTTTCCACAAAGCTGGAAAACACTGGTGGGTGTAGGTTCTCATTCACATCAATGACCTCAACTTCAACATAGCAAGTAGAAGACAGAGAAACTGGCTTCCCTTTGTCTTTGGCCCTCACGGTGAGATTATAGACTTGCTTCTTCTCAAAGTCCAGCTGCTGGATGATTCTAACTGCTCCACTGAGCTTGTCAACATCAAAGTGTCCTTCTCCATGGTCCATGAGAGTGTATCTCACCTGACTAGACTGACCTACGTCAGGATCATAGGCTTCTAACCACATGATTATGGTTCCTTCTGGGAGATCCTCTCGAACTTTCACCCGGTAATTAGGGGGAATAAACTTAGGTGGGTTGTCATTAACATCTTCTAGTGAGACTTTCAAAAGCACAGTGGAAAACAGCTGGGGTTCCTCTTTGGCTTGATCCCTAGCTTCAATTTTTAAGTAGTGCACATGTTGTACTTCACGATCCAAAGGGCGCACAATTTTAACAACACCAGTTGTGCTGTCAATTGAAAACTTATCTGTGTCTGTAAGAATAGAGTATGTCACATGTCCATTGGGGCCTAGATCTTTATCAGTGGCTTCAACCTGGATGATTTCACTGTTGACCTCTTTGTCTTCGCTCATTTCAACAAAATAGCTCTCCTGTAAAAACTCAGGCGGATTATCATTGGCATCTAGAACTATGATATCTAGAAGATGCCAAGCGGCCTTTTGTGGTATACCAAGGTCATAGACAGTAATATTCAGGGTATATCTGTCTGTTGTTTCACGGTCAAGTGGAGATAAAATTTTCAACATTCCTGTTTCCATGTCAATAATGAAGCAGCTATCCTCATTTCCTCCAGAAATAGCATAGACCAGTTTGCCATTGAAGCCAGAGTCAAGGTCAGTGGCATTCATGAAAATTATACTGGAACTCAAGGGATGGTTTTCCTTTACCTTTATAGCACTTGGAAGAGTACTTCTGAACTGAGGTGCATGAGCATTGACAGAATGAGAATCAAAGAAAATATCCTCAGCTTCCCCTTGGCTGTGTAATTTATTTGCCTGCAGCAGCTTTTCTGCTAGCATTTTGGCAACACCAGTCTCTTCACACTGCAAGTTTACTAGCTTACGACTGGCAGCCACAGTTATGTTGATATATAATGGTGTGGCAAAGTTTTCTCCATCTGTAGCTGTAATTCTCAGACTGTGAAAAGACACCTTTGCACCTAAGCCATCCATTAGTGACTGTTTTAATGATAAAACTCCAGAGTTGGGATTTAAGCTAAACAAATCTAGTTCATTTCCAGCTTCAATTTGGTATCGTACCAACTGAAGTTCATCAGCATCAATAGCAGAAACAGTGGTGATCTGCTCGCCCACGCCTAGATCCCTGGGAATCGTTCCTTCACAATTTATTTTCTCAAACAAGGGCGTATTATCATTCAAGTTATTCAGTGTAATCGTAGCAAGGACTTCAACTTCTCGGCGGTATGGCAAGCCCCAGTCTGATGCTCGGATCCTTAGAGTGTAAACCCGAGGCATCAGTTCATAGTCCAGGTTTTCGGAAGTACTCACAGCACCAGTGAAGTGGTCGATCACAAATGGCACATGATTTACATTAGCAATGCTGTAAGTCACATACCCATTCTCACCTTCATCAGGGTCTACAGCACTCACGCTCATGACGGTGGTACCAACAGGAGCATTCTCATCAAAAGATGCTTTGTATGCCGTCTGGGTAAATTCAGGGGGGTTGCTGTTTGTACCTAAGACTTTAACCAAAACTCTGGTGGAGGCTTTCCTGTCGCTTGTTGTTATTTCAAGTTCAAAATGGGAAGCCTGCTGTCTTTTAACTGGTTCCAAAATGGAAACCAGACCGGTGTTGTGATTTAAACTGAATTTAGCTTTCCCAGGTGTACTTTTAAAAACATACCTCAAGTGCGAATAACTGGGAATCGCTTTAACAAGGACCACAGGTGTGTTGGGAGGAGCAAATTCACTGATTTCTGCTCTGTAAACATCCTTTTCAAACTTGACTGGCCCAACTCTGAAGTGTGGAGAAGTCACATGGATCACTTTCACAGAAGAGAACTGGGGAGGAGTTCCTTTATCTTTAGCCTGTAGCGTCAGATTGTAGCCATAAGGATGACTGTTCCAGTCAACGGCGCCCACAGCTTTGACTTTATATTCTTTACTCCCTGGATAGGATCTCGCTGTTCTAAACTGTTGGAGAAGGTCACCTGCCACAATACTTAATGAAGCTATTTCCCCATTGGCACCCTGATCACAGTCATCCACTGTTACAATTGCGTATGTTGGGTCACTGTCCAGCTCTGATGGTGACAAAGTCACTGCTGTTATCACGGGAGCACATTCATTGGCCTGCTCTACATGAACTGTTAGCTTGGCCATGCTGCTGATACCACTGCTACCATACAATTTCATTCCTCGGTCCACAGCAAGGATTTCCATCTCATACAGCTTGGTCTCTAGATAATCAAGTCTACCAGTTAAGACCACTGCACCACTGGTTGGGTGAATAGCAAACATGTCAGTTCGGTCTTTGAAACTATAGTAAAATTCTCCATTAGTTCCTATGTCTGCATCAGTGGCACTGACTCTTGCAATACTGGTCCTTATAGCTGTGTTTTCAGGTAAAGAAACACTGTAAGAGGTGGGTGAGAATAATGGTCTCAAGTCGTTTGTATCCAACACTTGCACCCTAACCTTTGTTCGTGCTTCAGCATTGCTATTTTTTTCAACTGCTTTAACTATCAAGTTATAATGGTCTTTCACTTCTCTATTAAGAATAGCTGTATTTCCTCCTTTGGTCCTTATTCTTAGAAAGCAAAAGTCTCCGAGCACGTACTCTTCAGCTTTGAACAGGTTTTCATTGTCTCCTGAAACAATTTTGTACCTTAATTCCCACAGTGGATTTGTAATGTAAACACCCATCTTCACAGAATGCCCAACATAGGTTTTAGCCGCGGAGTTCTCATGCACAGTGACATTGTACTGAAAATGTGTAAACTGTAGAGGAGGAGGCTCTTCAAGTCTTTGGCTCCCGTCACTGTCTCCAAAATGTTGGAGCAGGAGGAGCAGAAGCAGAAGCAAGGCCAAATGTCTCCCCATTGCTCAACTCTCAGGAGTCTGAAACAGAAGAAAGAAATGAGAATTATTACTTTGGGGAAATAAAGCAAGCACAAGAGGAACAAATTGTTCTAAAGCTTACATTTTCATAACACATTTTCCATTTATATAGAATATGAATAACTGAAATGGTTTGGGGTTTTTTTTTCTGGTTTCCAATATAACTTTCAGTACTAACATATCTAAACATTACTAAGTTTAATACAATCCTTTTTTCTTTTTTAAAGGACTCAAGTTCCTATTTTCCAAATCTGAATAACTGAAGAATCATAATAAACAGCAAAAACTGCCACTGTAAATTGTATTTTTATATTTAAATCTTCAAGGTAAACAGCAATTGTTGAAGAGCTGTAGACAACGACCTTATTTACAATGAAATGCTCAAGAGCTTACAAACTTAAGACCACCACCGTACTATGAGCATCCAAAGCTTCTAACAAACAACTGAGGGAGAAATAAAAACTCAACAGTGGTTTTATATGGCTCCCTGTAATGAAAAACTTACAATCTCATTTCAAAATTTTTCCTGCAGTTTTATTATTTCTTTGTAAGAACGATTAAGCTTACTTTCTACATAAAGGTGTACTGTCTCATTAGCCCTTGATATAACTACCTAAAGGTATTATAATAAGCCTATTGTTGTTTGACAGTGAAGTAATTTTTGAAACATCAGTATGAACCCTTTCTCCCCAAACACATCATTTTACAATAGGAAAACCTGAAGTCTGCAGTCAGATGGCAAAGTTTTGCCCTCTAAGTCAAGCAAATCTTACCAACGATATCAGTGTTTTACACCACTGCTGTCAACAACCAGTTGCACAGGGACAGTCCCCTGTCTTCAGAGCACTGAACAACCTGTCACCCTGGACCAGGCCCTACCCCCTTTAGAAGATGGGACAGACACACACACAAGTTAAATCATTAAGCTAATATACATAAAGGGTCAAACCTGTGTAGAAAAGAGGCAGATACTGCAGGAAGTCAGAAGGTGGCTTGGGAAGGAAAGTGGGAGACTAAAGAGCAAGATTCCTTTAACAAGTGGGATGCTAGACAAAGTCCACCCGGCTGAGGCCTGGCCAGAGGAGCGGGCCAATTACTTTCACACCAGTTGTCCTCTCTAAGGCCAAACACTTCATCCTATAAATCAACTGCAGCTTCACAAAGCTCCCAGCTCTGTCAGCAGAGGACAGCACCATACCCTTGCAAAAGCGACTCTCAAATTAATATTCACTGAATGTGGAAACTACCAAAGGTGAAGGGAACAGCAGACTGGAGGGCTGGTTTAACAGCCAGGTTGAAATTAGAACAGCAACATTAATTTACAGTATCTTAACTCAGCTACTGCCAACTTTGCCCCATTAGTCATTTCATTAGAGGGGGGGAAAAGACCTGATATGCTTAAAGCAGTCAGAAGCTTAATTGATACTGAATCACATTCAAGTTGGGCACCCTAATTTGTTCTTAGGCTATCGTGCTTTTTCCTAAGGAAATAAAAGTCAGAAAATTGGACAGATTTTTGTTAGGCCTCTTGGGGAACAATTTTCACTTAAAATAAAATTTTCTCCCAAAACTTTCTCTATAAATATTTCAAGCTGGTCAGAAGTTCTAATATGCAAGGAAATTTGAGTATTTTAAAATGATCTGAAAATTTTAACAAGGGAAAAGTTCAGTTCATTTCAGCCAACAGGCATAAAGAACCTGCTATCATTCAGCATCCTGCTAGGTACATACAGTTAAAGAAAATACATATAAGAAAATTATTGGGGGCCAGCGCTGTGGTGTAGCTGGTAAAGCCACCACCTGCAGTGCCTGTATCCCATATGGGCGCCGGTTCTAGTCCCAGCTGCTCCACTTCCAATCCAGCTCTCTGCTATGGCCTAGGAAAGCAGCAAAGGATGGCACAAGTCCTTGGGCTCCTGCACCTGTTTGGAAGACCTGGAAGAAGCTCCAAGCTCCTGGCTTCAGATCAGCACAGCTCCAGCCACTGCACTCATCTAGGGAGTGAACCAGCAGATGGAAGACACCTCTCTCTCTCTCTCTCTCTCTCTCTCTCTGACTCTCTGTAACTCTGCCTTTCAAATAAATAAATTTAAAAAAAAAAAGAAAATGTTTGAAAGAACTTTATAAAGATGATGTTAAACAAGGACTTCCTTTTCCTTGGAGTGACAGATGTTTTAAGGGATATTATTACTATTGTCCAATTCACAACAAACTATTACACAAGACTCTTGCAAGCACTGAAAATAGTGCACACATGTGCATAATATTTGGATCTATTTAATCATGGACAGCAAAATCTGAACAGACCCATTAACTGCAGTCGCTTCCAGAAGACAGGAACAGGTAACAGGTGGTTGGAGGAATGCTTATATTGCATTTTGCTATCTGAAATTTTTGGCCAAAGTATGTGTTACCTTTATCATTCACTCACTCCTTTCATCAATTACTTAATTCCTTCAACACTTCATGACCACCCACTATGTACCATTCTAGATGTTTGAGATTCAAAAATGAACTAAATCATCAACAAGTTCTGGTGACAGACATACACACACACTGACACTGTATCAGAGTGGCAAAGGTCACTGTGGCACCTACATGGAAAAGACAAGTGCAGGGCAGCAGGGGCAAAAGCTGGAGGGAGGCTAATCTGCAATAATACAGAGGACAGACTGTGAAGGCGAGGGTTGCTCAGCACAGAGAATGCAGTTGCCAGGGACCGAGGGGAAGTCTGCTCGAGGATCAGGTTGTAGCGGGTGAGAGCAGGAGTTCTGAAGATTCAGTGAAGAAGAAAACATGAAGCAGGGCATAGAGGCTGTGGTCAGGAGCCTGCAGGAAAAAGACAGAACCCCAAATTCAAAAGAACCAGGGTTTCTCAACCCCAGCACCACCAGTATTTGTGGCAGACTCTTCTTAGATGCTTTGGAACACTGTAGCATGTTTAGCATTATTCCTGGTCTCCACCCAGTAAAAGCATGTAACGTCTCCCCTACCCCTTGCCCCAGTTGTGGCAACTAAAAGTGTCTCCAGACATTGCCAAATGTCTTCTAGGCTCAAACTCACCCCCCAGCGGAGAAGCAACGGGTTGGAGAAGCTGGAGAACAACAGGGAAGGGGAGAGCAGTAAGGATGGGGAACAGAGGCCAGGACAGATCATGAAGGGGGTTCTTTTTAAAATAAGTCATTTTATTTTAGATCAGCTTTACAGTTACAGAAAGTTGCAGTCTCCCCCACTGTTAACACATTAGTATCATACATATGTGTGAAAACCAATAAACCAATATTGATACATTACTAACTGAAGTCCAAGCTTTACTCAGACTCCTTAGGTTTTACCTAATACCCATTTCCCATCTCAGTGTCCCATCCCAGATACCATACTGCATTTAGTAATTGCATCTCCTCAGACTTCTCTGGATTGTAAATTCCTGAGATTTCCCTTGTTTTCAACAGGCTTGCCAGGTCTGAGTGCTAAGCAGCTACTCTGTACAAGGTTCCTCCTACAAAATACCCCTCAACTGGAATCTGTCTTCTTTCTCAGGATTAGACTGTATTTGGGGAAGGAAGATCAGAGGGGTAAAGTGTCATCTGCATCTCATCCCATCAAGGGATAGACGTATCAACAGGAATCACGTAGACCCTGACCTTGATCACCTGACTGAGGTACTGTCTGTCAGGTTGCTCCACAGTCAAGTTACCCCGCTTCCTTCCCTTCTGCAGTGGACTCTTTTAGAAGGCAGTCACTAGCTGCGGACTCATGCTACACAAATTATTCAGAACTCTTTTACAAGGCTGACTTGTCTAGTCTCTCCACTGACTCAAACATCTCTTAAAGACTGGTACAGACTCACAGATGAAAGGTGATGTTTAGGACTTTGGATTTTAGTACAAATAAAATGAGAAAGCACTAGAGGATTTTGAACGGGAAGGATATTATCTACCTGAAGTGGGAAAAGGTCAGTCTGGTATCTGTGTGGAGAAGACAAGTGCAGGGCAGCAAGGGCACATGCTGGAGGGAGACTAACCTGCAATAATAGAGATTGTAGAGGGAAGGGCTGCTCACACAGAAAATCCTGCTGCCAGGGACTGAGGGCAAGTCTGCAGGAGGACCAGGTTGTAGGGACTGAACAGGAGTTCAGTTTAGGACAAGATAAGCTAGAAATGCATACTGGATATCCAATGGAAGACTCTGTGGGCAGTTAGATGGGTGGGAGAGTTCCAGCGTGCAGATATAAATTTTAGAGCTGTCAGAATACAGATGATGATATTTAGAACCATGAAACTGAATGAGATCACTGAAGAGAGCACACAGAAGAAAAGGAAGCCAAGGACAGGCCACTGTTGTTCTCCAGGAGTTGAAAGCAGAAGAGGAGGGGAGACAGAGTAGCCCCTGAGCCTGGTGAGGGGACAGGGGTGTGATAAGGCACAGCAAGTAATTTGAAAAGCCTAACATCAGACGTTGGAAATGACTCATAAATACTGGTTGCAGAAAGGCCCCAGAAAGCCACCTCCCCAGTCATAAAGAAAACGCCCATCGCCTCAGATCACAGCAGCTTCCAACCACAGCTCCTGCCACCACCACGTGTCCCCCACAACTAGATTCCCAAGCACCCCAACCACCTCCTACAATCCACCCAACACAGTCCTCCTGGGACACATCACAGCTGGAACAAACTCCCTGGGTGACATTCATAACCAAAACCTCTTAAAATTCAGAGTTCATTCTGCAAACTTGGCTAACACAATGACACTATAATTAGAACTAGTAAATGCATTCTTTTGATTAGAAAAAGTCCATTTTTTAACAGACAGTTATTAACTGTATAGTAATGTAACTAACAAGTGTGTGAACTCAGGTTTCACCAGAAAACATCATGACCAGAACTAAGGCTGTTACTCTATGTAAAACCAACACTACAGCTCAAGTAAAGAGAAGACACTAACAACATTTCATCTAAAAACTGTTATTATCTAGAGTTCACGCTTATGAAAATGAAACTC